GCTCTGGTACCCTACAGGTGGGGACTCGGCCTTTTCTCTTAAAATATTCACGAAATGATGGTAAGAGTGTATTGGCTTAACCATGGTAAGAGTGTATTGGCTTACCCGTTAATTGAATTAGAACACAATAGAATAGACACTATAATATAACCACAATATAGTTGTGTGGCATATGGAAGTCTGGTACGTAGCTGTGTGCTGAATTTTAATCAATACTACGCCTCCAAGTTATTACACGGTAATACAATTTAAATACCGTATAAACAAAATGAAATATGGTTTGTACTCGGACCGCAACCCTATATGTTGGAATCATTATTCATATACCCTCCGTAAGCTACTGCGTACTTACAACAACCGTGACATTATACTTCAGTTGCAATTATGTATGTCCTGGTTACCTGTGGCTGGGGAAACGGTCTTTTTTTTTTTTTACTTCAAATAGCATGTATTTACTGCTGATGGTTAAAGAAGACATCAACAAATACTTAAGTTGTATGACATATGCACTTGGTTAGTACGATGAGTTTAATACAACAACTATACCTCCTAGTAATAACCCAAAAATAGGCTAGCATGTACTTTCAAAACAATTAGATATTACATTAACCATCCGTCCCTACAGAGCTACATCATCAAATGCCTTAGTACATGAAAAATATACCTGCAGAATATAACTATGAACCTCCACAACTTCATCATATACCTGCGTGAGAGGGCTACATACCACTTACTACTGCAAATAAGTCGGTGGATCCAACCGGTTACATCCTAGAGACACAAAAAGCAATTACAATATAGCTATTGAATACATACCTACTGTCTTAATATATACTCCTGGAAGCCAAAAAGATGTACAATGAAAAAAAGGTTTGCTAATCTATTTGTTGCTTACAACTTCTTCTATTATGTCCAAGACGCCAACGACCACATTTTCGTGGATTCTTTGCCTGCTGGGACTCGAACCTTCGCTTCTTTGGCCGGCCTGGTTGGACAGACGACGGAGGAGGGTGAATTTGGTCCGCCTGAATTTCAACAATCACGTCCATATCATGCGTCGGTACGGGATTTATTGGTTCCTGGTACATTTTTCTGTAGCATTCAATGCTAGAGTAAAGATCGCAAAAATCATAAATTGACATACTGCATTTTTCAATGCAAGCGCAGGCATGCTTGCAGGGCAATCTGAACATTTTCCATTCTCGACAAGAGCATTTGCGCGCCTCCAAATCGACTGCGTATCTTTCATTACAATATGTTACCTCGAATACATTTCTAAAGGATGAACTGCACTGTAGCCGTCGAGACGCCATGTACGACAGTGCCAACTTGCTCTCCTTTTTGGACAGAGCCTTCCGTGCATTATCTCCAACTTTTCGCGGCGTTCATTCATCATTACCATCACTTGCCTTCTAATGGTATCCAACATCCCAACGAATGGCATTGACCTCGCGGATCTCACTAAACTATTCCATGACTCAACAATGTTATTATTTATTATTCCCCAACGAGTGCCTCTGAATAGTGAATTTGCCCAACATTCTAGGTGTGATTGGGTAATGAAGTCCCGGGCCAATGGCATTGATTCGACCACAGAACTAATGTGGTTTTCGAAATCTCTCCTCAACGGAGCATAGGCGGCCTTATTGAAGACAGCGGTCCATCGTTTCTTATTATGCATTGGGTATCTCCGCATAACCTAAAAAAAGGACATTTTTTGGCTGATCATAACCAGTGATGTTCATTACAAATTAATATTGACGTACATATACCTGGGTACGGAAGTTGTCCACTAAGTGTCGGAGACAGTACGCATGATATGCTCTGGGAAAGACGCACGAGATTGACTTTAGTAAACCCGAGTGCCGATCCGAGAAGAATGTGTATTGTTTCCAATCCGTACGTCCCTCACATTCTAAAACAAATCGCAGCTTCCAGCAAAACCACTCCCAATTTTCATTATTTTCCGTAGACACAGTTGCAAGTCAACAAATAAGAACACAAATAACTACAAAGGTTTCCAACGTATAAGGGTACATACATGCCTAAAGAGAGCATGGAAAACAACATACACGAACAGCTATACCCAACATTCTAACAAAATGACAACTGTAGCTAATATCAAATTACGTACCAGAAATTGCTAAAGTAAACATCCCATCATCCCCATCTACTGCAATTGCACTTAGCAGAAACCCTTTGTGTTTGTTTTTTATATGTGTCCCATCAAGAAAGAGTAGGGCCCTGCAACCCCTCAAAAAACCCAGCCGGCATGCACCTAAACAAACAAAAAGGCGTTGGAAACGTTTGGTTACCTGCTCAACTTCGCAGTCTATAATACTTCCCGGATTTGACTCCCGAAGTGCATGACAGTACCACGGAAGTTGTGAGAAACTGTCTCTACCTCCACCATTAATTGCCCTTATCGCATTCTCTTTGCCACGCCATGCTTTATGATATTTCACGTCAATCCCATAATCTGTTTGGATATGCTCCCGGATGTCGGATGCCTTATACGCTGGCATAGAACGTATCTTATCTTTGTAGACCTCAGAAATCCAGTTCGCATCGGCTGCTGGATGATCTCTTGATTGCAATAGACTCATAGTACATGTGTGATGTAAATTGCACTTACGATTGCTGAATGATGCATCACGAGCATGGAAGGATGCATAAATACGCCAACCACAGCCTTTGTCGATGCACACCGCAATAATTTTGCTCGAATCATTCTTTTGGTACCTGAAGTGTTTCTGAGTGGCAATAGAATAATTCTTCAGTAACTTTCTAAACTCCTGCGGTCCCTTGAATGTCTGACCTTCCCCGATAATGCATCTTTGCATTGCAATTAGACTAGTACTTTCGTCGGGAATAAAGATACCATCTGCGCAATCTTCGTTCAATCCCGAACATTCGGCCTCACCCCTACATTACAAATACAATAATAAGAATGAAAATTATATCAGATGTAAGTAGTTCTAATTTTATATGGTAATAGATATTTTCTTCGTAAATAGAAAAACATGGGTACCCATCTTATTCAACCGAGTATGTCCACGGTGTCTATGGTTACCTACCGTGTCATCCAGGGTATTTAAAAGAACAACTGCATTTATTCACCGCAGCAGGCTATGTGATGCAGTAAATGCCACGGGCTACAGAAATTTCAACGCATCGATCATGGTACACCTACCTAAACCGGATTGCTAGAGGATATTGACAGTGGCGTGTAAAGAAGGAGTGAAAATCGTTAAATACCTTCAAGACGTTATATCCCCACTACATATCTTTACAATCTCTTCAGTGGTTCGTTCTGCACCGCGCTACTACAAAATCGCGGAGGTGGATACTTATTACCTACAAACAACATCGCAACAATATACCACGGTATTGTTGTATGCCAATATCATGAAAGAATTATTACTAACGTAACCTATAAACAATATGTTTTTAGATGTGTTGAACATGACATTATAAGTGCTTACAGAGTGCATTCTTACATACTGCATTATAAGTGCTTACAGACTGCATTCTTTCATAAGGAACAATTGTGACTGCATTCTATAACAAAGTTTAATAAAGACTACTTAATTACAAATGATGAGTAATGTACCTGCCTCCAACCGTGCTTCGGAGAGGCACGCTCTGGTGCTCGCTTCTACACCGTGCAATCATATCCACAAACATTACCTTTAACAAGATATGCATTCTCCACATATTGGCTCTGGTGCTCGCTTCTACACCGTGCAATCATATCCACAAACATTACCTTTAACAAGATATGCATTGTCCACATATTGGCGACATCATCGTCACACAATAACGTCACGTAGCTTTTCTGAATAGGTGCAATATATTGGAGTTTTACAGCCTCAATACTCACTTTATTCCATCTTTTCGATATATTCCGGTAAAGATCCTCCAGCGTGGTGCCCTCTTCTAAACGAATTACATGATGCTCACCTTCGTAGGAACATATAATTAATAATTTCAGACTACTTTGCTCCATGTCCATCGGAACCTAACAATCCAACCAATGAATGTATGAACTATATTAGGTCGTATGGGCGATTAGATAATCTTACACAAAATACACTAAAATCATATGTTATTACGGAATTCTAGTAATGTCTTGATCCTCAATAGCAACAAATTACCCATTTCACAAAATAAATATTACCCTTAAACCCTAAATAGCAACAGAATTTATTATCAAAATCACCCAAAATAATACCCAAATATTTTCTTCCAAATAATAATTTTCCAACTAAGATATCGATACAAAAACACACCTGGTATATCTAATTTCGCCGGAGAACAAGAAAGACGGGCCAGGGAACTGGTGACAGCCTTCGGTAGTTCTTCGACCGAATCAACCGACACAAAAACACACCTGGTACATCTAATTTCACCGGAGGACAAGAAATACGGGCCAGGGAACCGGTGACAGCCTTCGGTAGTTCTTCGACCGAATCAACCGACCGCCGACGACAGGGAACCGGAACAGGATTCGGAGAGTGCCCTAGAAAATTTTTCAATCGAACCAGACAAGAAGCGACGATGTAAAATCGGACGAACAATTAAGAACCTTACCTGTGCGGGATGTGGCTTTCGAGCTCACGGAAGAGGACAACAGATTGAGAAGAATTTTTTGCGCGAAGAGAAACAGAATGAAGAAAAATACGAGTAGAGAGGAAGAAGAAGGAAGAAGAAAAAAGAGGGAGTGCAGACAAATTTTTTATCATCAGGAACTGAATCCCAATTGATAAATGGACAGAGAAATTTTTGCCCAATTGTCCGTTATTTTAATATTATTATTTTTTTAAATTTAACAAAGCCTAATTAGCCCTGATTAGCATCCAAATAATTCCGTTTCTGTCATCTCCCTCCATCCAGACGGCTGTAATAGATCTTTAATAATATGAGAAATAAATTGACGTAAATGCCCCCACACAGAACAACGCGTTTGTTTCCTGACCATGGATATAAACCTCACCCCCACACACAGACACTCACGCCGCAATCCCTCGTAGGGTTTAAACGCCCTGCAATTCTCTTCGATAGCGGACGCCGGTGATCCCAATAGATAATTTATTCTTCTCGCCGGCTTGCGAACATCTGTCCCAGATTTGTGAAAATAATCAGGAGGTTGCGATATAATTCATGGCTGAGGTAGCGGTGCCGATTCAATCGGAGCGGACTGAGGAACCTCAGCCTGATTCAGTGGTGGGTCTGTTTGGTCGGAGGATCGATTTTCATGTAGCGAGGAAGCCGTTCAATGGATTTAGTAATGAGAGTAGTAATGGGCTCAAGCTGGTGACCTTGAACCCTAGTTCGGGGACTCAGCAGCCTTCAGGGTCCGGGAAGAAGTCTGAAAGGTCGGAATATATGGATTCGGGGATGGATCCGGAGCTGGGGCTGGAGATTACCTTCCGGAGAATTGTGAGTGTATCTTTGCTGGTATCTGTTTCTTCGTTTATTTTACTTGTTTCTTGATTTCTGGTGTATCGCTGTTTTGTGTCTGCTGTTATGTCCTTATGTTTATTTTAATCATGTAGCTGTGCTGAAAATTTTCTATCTCGTTTTGCTTTAAGTTTTCCATCTGTTAGTTTTCGGCTTTCAGGAATTAATTCTTAAGTTTTTGGGATGTTGTTCTGAGCTTGGTTAATTTCTATAGAGGATTTTTATTTTGGAAAGCCATTAAGGTGAGGAGCACCGCATCAAGAGGTGCGCCACAACTTTGGGTTACTATTACTTTTTAATTCCAACTTTATCAGGGATTTTGAATCTCAAATTTGTCTTTCCTGCCTCCAATCCTATGCTGCTCGATTATTCCCCACTGTACTTATTTTTGTTCTCTTTAAAATTATGATTTTTAAAGTGTTTACTTTGATTTATTTTATATCAAAGTTCAAATCTTAATTGTAAAATTCTGTATTTTACTTATCTTTTTAGTATTCAGCTATGTATGCTGTCAATTGGTAAGGGTTCAAGGTGGAACTATAGTATATTTCAGAATTCTAATAACAACAGCAACATGCAATATAAGCAAAAGATGGGAGGGCAGTGGTGGTGTGTTGTGGCGGGTGCTAGGGTGCCAATCGCTTTTGGGGGTGTCCAGCCTTTAATAGTGTATCCTCTCTCCTTCACTCTTAACTAATGATTGGCCCCCCAGGGTGGAAACATTGGACCCCTTGATCTCTCTTCGCCTCTTTTGCTCCTTACTTAGACCTCCTGGTCATGTCTGAGACTCTGGGCATTGCTTTAAAGTGAAATCTTGTAAGGAGCTTCCTCACTCGTAGATTTTGCTTCTTCAAAAGCTCTAGGAAGCGAAAGAGGATTTCACTCTTGCTACTGAAGCGGCCTTTGAATGCAAATATATAGATTGACTGCATATATATATTTGCATGGTAACTATATATTAAGACTTATGGTGCACGAATGTACCACTCTCAGTTATGTCCACCGGCATGGTAAAGGGCTTGTGCTGTGCTGTGTTGTGCCCCATTTACAGCTTTGATTTAATACGTAATATATTCTCGATCATTAGTTTATAATACTGTCTTTTGGAAGTGATTTTCATAGTGGTGTTGGAACATAGACTTGATTTTAAGGTGCAAGATCACTGCTGTGATGATATTGTGTGAGATTATCATAATATTATGCTAATCATTGCACAATTAATAATGGCAATATGATTACTTGATGATTCCCTAGGCATTAAATAAGAACTCTTCCCTAACAGTTATTTGACATACCCAACTGATTTTCTTCTCTATCAATTTTTCTTTTAAGCATTCGGTTGAACACTTGTAATTTGTGATGTTTAATTTCATAGTAATTCTTTTTACTCCAACTATTTTCCTTCTCTATCAACATCCTTTCAAGCATTATGGCACTCCTGGTCCCATTAGCTGTGACATATCTCACTTGCATAGCACAAGGCATGCAATTGTCGTTTGCTCTAGTATCAACTATTGTTAACACTTGCAATGAGCTAATAGAACTGGGGCCTAAAACTAGTGACGACTTTGCCCTTGTTCATCTTTATCACCGGGCACTCTGCTCCTTTACCACCCCTTTTGCCTAAGTTAAGAGAACTTTTCAAAGTGCACTAGTTTTGTGCAAGGTGTGTGTTAAGTGAGAGTAAAGTACTTGATTTTCTCTAAAGAACACTTATATTACTCAAAAGGACTGCTTACAAATGCTTCAATACAAGTGAGGCTATCCATTCCTTCCCATATTTTGACTTGTCTACCTCTCTAATGTATAGTGGATATTGTTGACCTGATACTCTGCACCATTTATTCTTGGAACACTCCAAAGATTCCTGAATGCATTAGAAACTGTAGAATATTTTCAAGACATTTATATTTAGAAACCTGTACACAACCCTTTTCAACATTCAAACAAACTCTATAGATACAATTTGATACAGTAACACCTTGAAATGGTTACCTACTTACCCTTTTTGGTTAGTAGTAAAGTGCATAAACTCACAGTGGGGTCATGAAGAGGTTGGCATGAAAGTTAACATGGCAAAGTTAGATTTTGAGCAAAAAATAAAGCTAAAACCAGTTGTTTCTGGAAGTATTTAATTTGTGCATGACTAATGTATCTCTATGTCTAGATTTTCACTTACAGTACCTGCTGTTTAATACAAATTTTCTTAGGGATTAGGATCTCCCATGGGTCTGACCTTTTTAATGGTCTGTTTCATCATTTCTTTTCATTCATATACTTCAGGCTGTTAAGCTTAGATTTTTTTCTTTTCTCTCTCTCCCTCTTTTTCTTTTTCAATTTATTTTTTTATTTAATTTTTTTGTGTCAAATAAAAATTTCCACTGATGATTTCAGGGTGCTGGCTTACGGAATCTCGGAAATACTTGCTTTCTGAATTCGGTTTTGCAATGTTTGACTTATGTTTCTGGAAGTATTTAATTTGTGCATGACTAATGTATCTCTATGTCTAGATTTTCACTTACAGTACCTGCTGTTTAATACAAATTTTCTTAGGGATTAGGATCTCCCATGGGTCTGACCTTTTTAATGGTCTGTTTCATCATTTCTTTTCATTCATATACTTCAGGCTGTTAAGCTTAGATTTTTTTCTTTTCTCTCTCTCCCTTTTTTTCTTTTTCAATTTATTTTTTTATTTAATTTTTTTGTGTCAAATAAAAATTTCCACTGATGATTTCAGGGTGCTGGCTTAAGGAATCTCGGAAATACTTGCTTTCTGAATTCGGTTTTGCAATGTTTGACTTATACTGAACCATTAGCTGCTTATCTACAAAGTGGGAAGCATAAAAATTCCTGTGAGTTTCCTCTTTTGCTAATATGAAAATTTTAATATGTAGATAATAGATCAAGCGAAAAAATTTGGTAATAATCTTGTTGTTGCTCTGATTGCTAAATAGATGATTTCAAGTCATGTGGTGTCCAAACAAATTGTAATATGCATATTTGAAATTTTGTTATATATTGCTACTTTTATTTGAGAACTATTTTAGCCTATTTGTAGACAAAATATTGTATCTGCTTATGACAGCATGACTATAACAATGATAGGACATGTGGTAATCTGATGCCTTAAAAATTATTATGTTTAAAGAGATGGAAGACAAGATTTGGTGAGAGAGATATAACAGGATCATCTCGTTGGTTTACGATATTTGATCTTGGGGATTTCTATGCCTGTGGCTGAATAGATTCAAGATAAGATCAAGGAGAGCAATGTGCTATATTGAAAGTTGACTAGATAGTTGCTATCATGGTATTTCTGTGTTGGGGCTGTTTGACATGATGGCTTTTCTGAGGAACCAGTTTTTGTAATAATTTGGATTTTATGGAGTAGTATTTTGTAAAATTACTGACTACTTTGAGACTCGGTTTTACACAATAACAAGAACATGGGCGAGACGTACTGTATTATTACACTCTGAGTTTGACGCTTCAAAGGTTTTTTGAAGTCCCTAGTTTATTTTGTTCCTAATCTATGCTTTACAGATGCTATTGTTGAACTGAGAAAACTTTTGATTTAGTACACTACTTGAGAATGCTTTCTGGAGAAAATTTTTGTTTTCTCGTTGTTAATCCATGCCCTGGGGACATTAGTGCCCCCAAATATGGGTTGGATGGTTTTTCTTGAACGCTGCTTTCATCTGATAGGAAGTTTTCTATTTTTTTCTTTAATTTATTTTGGAGTTAATTTTGGTTACTTGAAAGTCATCATTTTAAGAATATTTTCTGGTTCATGAAGGTCGGACTGCTGGCTTTTGTGCATTGTGCGCCATACAGAAGCATGTGAGCCGTGCTCTACAGGCAACTGGGGGGATTCTAGAGCCTAAAGATCTTGTTTCAAACTTGCGCTGTATCCTTTAAGCAGTCTTAAAAAAATTTCCCGTGAAAATAGAGGAAGTAATGCTTTTTTATTCAAAATTTAAAGCCAGTTTGTGACTTGGTTTCCATTATTTTTTTGTTTAATATTTTGGTTCTTGTTTCCTTTTATATGAAAGTAAATGGTGAACATCTTGATAATTGGCACATCTTCATATTTGTACTGTTGGTGTTTCTGCTTCTTCTAGTACATATATTGCCAGAAGACTTGGTTAGATATCTTCCTTCTTTTTGTACTATCTTATTTTCCTTTATTTCTGGAATGTAATTTTCCACTATTACTTTTCTTTGGTGATCCTTTACTAATTTCTTCATTGTCCAATTCATAAGGTCATTTACTTCCGACTCTATACTCTTTATCACATTAAATTTAAGCCTGTAAATTATTTTGTTGAACATATAATCCTTAACTACAATAATAGGTATATCACGGAACTTTCGAAATGCCAGGCAGGAAGATGCCCATGAGTATATGGTGAATTTGTTGGAATCAATGCACAAATGCTGCATACCATCAGGAGTACCAAGTGAATCTCCTAGTGCTTATGAGAAGAGTTTGGTTCACAAGATATTTGGTGGCCGTTTACGGAGTCAGGTAGCCTATAATTTTTAAGCACATTTATAATGTTGTCTGAGGTTTTGTCTTAACTGTATTCACTTTAAAAGATTTCATTTTTTCTTTATATCTGTCCTGCTATTGACAGTGGCCTTTTTGTAGGTGCAATGCATGCAATGCTCCTTCTGTTCCAACAAGTTTGATCCATTCTTGGATATAAGTCTTGAAATATTGAAAGCAGAGACATTGGAAAAGGCATTACACCATTTCACTGCCAAAGAGCAGTTAGATGGAGGTGCCAAGCAGTACCAATGTCAGCAGTGCAAGCAGAAAGTGAAGGCTCTAAAGCACCTTACAATTCACAAAGCCCCTTTGGTTCTTACTGTTCACCTCAAGCGGTTTGGTCATTTCCATGGGCAAAAAATTACTAAAAAAATTGCATTTGGTTCTACCTTGGACTTGAAACCATTTGTCAGTGGTCCTTATGTAAGTTAGACCTTTATACAATTTTGTGTGTTCTATTTTGGTTGTGTTCTTAGTTGTGAGGAGTGTCAATTTGAATTATTGTTGCCATCACCGTCGCCATCCATTTGTAGGCTTCACTGTGCCATATTTGCAATATTCTTTGCTCCTTCTGCCCTTGATTAGGCAGTAATTATCCTTTTCGTACTTCTGTTTTGTCTTCTTGGTATCATAAAAGTTAATCTTTCTGGGATCTCTTTTAGACACCGTTCTTGTAACTGGCATATGATATAATTTGCAGGAGGGGGATTTGAATTACACACTCTATGGTGTTCTTGTTCATGCTGGTTGGAGCACCCACTCTGGTCACTACTATTGCTTTGTACGAACATCTAGTGGCATGTGGTATTCCTTGGATGACAATCAGGTTGTGCTTTAATATGCAATTTCATATAAAGTGGCAACTCATGAAGCTGTTGAAGTCTTTTCTTTTTGTCTTTGCTCCATATGTGAATTCTAATTTATGATGAAATTTCTGACAAGTTTTATGGCATCTGATGTTTTAACAGGTTGTCCAAGTAAATGAGAGAAAAGTTCTTGAGCAGAAGGCTTATATGTTGTTTTATGTCCGAAATAGGAAACATTTTTGTAGGAAGAAACCAGTTGACAGTATACAGAAAGAAAACATAATTATAAATGCCATTGGAAAATCAGCATACTCGAAAATTAGCCGTGACTCAAATGAAAAAGTTCAGAATGGTTCAACTGAGAAAAACATAGATGCCCTGACAACTGCTTCTTCATCTTTGAGAGATGAACAGGTTAACCCTGTGCCAAAGGAGATTCCTTCGGTAAAGACTTCTTTGCTAAACGGAAATGGAAATAAGACACTTAACCCCTTAGAGTATGAAGGGGGCTCTCAGTCTAAGCCTTCGTCTGCAATACAAGACAAGCACCCAGAGAAGGGGCCACATGCTCCGAGTATGAATAATGTTGGACAGAAAGAAGAATGGAGCTCAACCATTGCAGTTTCTAGAGTTGGTACTGGATCAAAAATTGACTCCCACAACACTGGGAGTGTTGTAGAGAATCAGAATTCCTCTGCTGCTGTTGTATCTTCCAACTGCATTGTACCCAAGGATTCAAATCACAGAAAATATAGTACTGGTTGTGCTGCCATGTTATCAACTAGTTCTAAAGACAGGGCCGAAGAAATTCCCATGGAACCAGCTGACAAGTTACTGAGCAGCAGGTCCTTGAGTGCATCGACTGGAGATACATACACTACAAATAGAATGGTCAGTGGCTGTGCTTGCCTGTTCCAACAATTTCCCACTTCCATTAAGTTCCAGTCTGAAAGTAGATATATATATATATGTGTGTGTGTTTAATTTATGATTACTTTTATCCAGTGTGATAGTAAGACTATGCCCTTGGGAGCAAATATGGAAGCATGGGACCAAGTTACGAGAGCCAAGTTATCTATTCAAAACCATGCTGCTGATAATCTGGTACGTCTCTTTTCTTGTTTGGTCATAGACATCAAATCTCAAGCTTTTGCTTCGTGAATTACTGCCATGCCCTCACAGAATGATTGATTCGATTTAATTTTATTCATTCTAGGTGGGTGGTGTTAGGCAGAAAATAGATGATTCAGTCATTGAAGAAACCAATGAATTGAAAGTGACAATGAAGAAAAAAAATCGACCTCAATTGATAGTGAAAAGAAAGCCTTTCAAGTGTCGGGCTGTCACAATGCTGCTCAGCTCTAATATTATGTTTGGTGCTGCCCTTTCCACACGAAAGAAAATATCCAAGTCAAGAAAAACACATTCCATCCAAAAGACGCCTCACGATATGAAACAGATATCCGAGGATGATTTCCCTTCAAGCCCTGAGCAATCTCGTTCTGATAAATCATCTCCTCTACCCACCAACCAGCTTGAATGCAAGAAAAAGAAAGTAAAGCATAGCTCAGATCACCAACATCAGAAGCTGAGAAAAACTGGTCTTAGTTGTGACAGTAGCATACCCATTGATGCTTTTAACAATGACTTCAAAGAGAGAGTTGTTTTGGATAGTGCAACTCTCGCAGCTAACAATCAACCTGGCCCAGATTTCCCCGGAGAGTGCAGAAGGGAATCTAGACAGAATGATGTTATGAGTATGCTGACCCGGGGCATAGAAGAGGCAATCGGTAACAAAAAAAAAGTGTTGTGATGCTCTTTTATGAACACAATGCGGAATAACTCATTGTCCTGCCTCACACATTTGTTTGTTCTGAGTGCAGTTGCTCGCTGGGATGACATTGAGATTTCTGCTACAGAAAGGACTGAGATCGGAGCAGCACAGACAACACAAATTGGTTACATTGGAGATGAATGGTAAGCCTTTTTTTTTTTAATCACTTATGTTCCCTTCTACAGTTGGGCACAAGTATTGTTCATATAAATTTTTGGAAAATTTGTGCTATTTGTTACAACGCCCACGCCCACCACATATTATATGGCAACTTTTGAATGCTTAGATATTTGGCAGTGAACTCGTCTTGATATACTTTGAATTGATACTGATAAATTCCGTGTGTTACATCAGGGATGAGGAGTATGATAAAGGGAAACAGAAGAAGGTAAGGATGTCCAAAACTAGCTTTGATGGACCAAACTTATTCCAAGAAATTGCATCAAGAAACACCAAAAGAAAGAGGAAAGACAGAACAAGTTTGGAAAACCCAAACCCTCCATTTAGGATATGATAAAAAGAGGTTGGCTACAAGCAATTTTCAGTTTTCCATATCTACATGTCTGGGTTGGATTGTCCACAGTGTTGTCTGTTTTCCCCTAATATTCTGGCCCATCTTATGGATTGCCTCATTTTGACTAGAGGCTAGAAAAATGGAACCAATTTTGGATGTTGAACTGTACAAGATCTCTTGTCATCCTGTAGAAGCATTCTGTCAGCCTCATGATATCTTTTATTCACTTCTCTTTTCATAATTAGTTGACTTTAATAGTTTTGTTTGAAGCTTACAAAATAGATGGCTTAAATTATGGCATTGGTTGCATTTGGTAAGAATTTTCGAGGTAAGGGGATTGATAATGTATTGAGCATGAGGAATCGCCTCTAATTTATTGCTGTATCATGTTAAGCAAGCACAACCATGTCCTATTTCAATTGTTTTATTTTTTATTTTTTTTATTTTTGTTTGTCTCACATCAATTATCATGTTTCTATTTTTAATAGTAAAATTTTACTAAATCTATCAATATTTAACAACTATAAATTAATTTAATTAACTTAATAATATATATATCTGTAGGATTCTTTATTTCTATCTAGTTAATAAATAAATATTTTTATCTATATTTAAAATTTATATTCTTTTATAAAATTAATTTTATCTAATTATAAATAAATAAATGCATTTTATTTTGTTTATTTGTGTTATTTTAAATTTTATCCTCTACAAAATAGATATTATATGCATATATTTTATTGAGATAGAGATATAATTTTAAAATGAAAAGAGTATTATATAATATATATATATATAGAGAGAGAGAGAGAGTATTTTCGATAGTAGTATAATATATATTAAAACATTTTAATAATCATGTTTTAAAATTTCAATTATAACCTATCAAATATGCAATTAACAAGCTGTGGTAACCACAGGATGGAATATTTGACCTTCGAAAATTGTGAAAATTGTGTCGTATTTTGTATATGGTGTTGTATGTTATGTTGCCAATATAAAAGATAATATAGATTGAATATTTGATTTTGACGTTTGAAAAATGTGTCGGTATTTTTTATATATGGTGTTGTCTGTAATGTGTTATTTTGTACTTTCTTTTTTTTTTTTTTTTCTGAAACTTGTGTTCATTTTCTTTATTTATCTTCTAAAAATATTATTATTATTTTTTTTTTTTTGTAAAAATTATATTCTATTAGTCTATTAAAATTATATTATTTACAATTTTATTAGTTCTGCTTTTAACAAATATTTATCTCGTCTTCCATATTATGCAATATTTACATACTCTACAATATTTTTAAAATAAGAAATAATTATTACTCCCTCCGTCCTAGATAATATGAGACTATTACTGTTGATATGAGAATTTAGGTAGAGTATAATTAATAAATAATTAAAAAATGTATTAGTAAAAATAATTATTGTATAATAAAAATAATTATAGATTAAGATTAAAATAACTAAATAGTTTAATTAAAATTAAAAAATTATAAAATTTAAAATTTAAAATGTGATTAAAGTGTATAATCATATATTTTTTTTTAAAAAAAGATAAATTATGTGGGACAAACGAAAATAAAAAATAGAAATAAATTATATGGGACGGTGAGAGTATATTTTATCCCATGACACCATCAAATAAAAAAAGAAATTTATTTTTCTCTTTCGTCACATCACTCCGTGCCGATAAATATTATTTTTTTATATGGAACGAAGGGAGGGGGTAATATTTAATTTGTCACTACTTTTCTACTTATCTCACTACCTTTTGATCAACTCGTAGATAAATTTTTATATCATACTTTATTTTTTTTTTATCTATTCTATTTTGATAATATTAAAATATTACTCTCTCCGTTTCAAAACTATGGTCTTATTTGAATTGAACACAAGATTTAAAGAATATTAATATTATATTGATAGTTGGTAAAAAGTAAGGATAAATTACTTTTTTGTCCTTGTGAGTATATTAGTGTAAAAAGTAGTGGCATTTATGTAATAATAATGAAAAAATAGGGATAATTTTACGGTGATATAAATATTTATGGAAATGATACTATTGTTTTGAGACAGACAAAAATAATAAACAAGACTATTGTATTGGGACGAATGGAGTATTATTTTCTGTGACCAATCAAAATTACATCATTTTTGCTCATAAAGGTACTAGTTTTTGTAATTTTGTAATATAAACATGAAAATTACATACTTAAGATATGTGTTAAAAAATTTGAGTAAATTTTCTAAAGATGAAGTAATATTAATAAAGAATAGTACAAAAAAATTGGCGCTTGTGTGAACATATGTAATCAGCCTTGCATAAATATATTACAACTTATATGCTTATATCTTTATCATGTTAAATTAATTATCTATTTTAAAATTTTTATTATTTATAATTTAAAAACCTACTCTCACATCAACACCCTATAGATTAGTAGATTACAAAATTATTTAGTTTATAAGGCGTCTCCAACCCACTGCGATTTGTCTAATTTTATTTTTTTAAAAATGATATATATTTTTATAGTTTAAGAAGTGATATATAATTTATTTTTTAAAAATGATATATATTTTTATATTTTAACAAGTGATATGTAATTTTATTTTTTTTAAAAAATAATATATAATTTTATTTTTGAAAAGTGATATATAATTTTATTTTTTGGAAAGTGATACATAATTTATTTTTTTAAAAATAATGCATATAATTTTATTTTTTAAAGTTTTTTGGACAGTGATATAATTTTTTTTTAAAAAAATGATGTGTAATTTTATTTTTAAAAAGTGATATATAATTTATTTTTTTGAAAATGATGTAATTTTTTTTTTTAGAAAAAGGTGAAGTGTAATTTATAAATATGAAAAAAATAAGGTATAATTTTTTTATTTGTAGTATTTACATAGACATTATGAATTTGTTTATTTTGTATTTTTGAATAAATATATTTTTTACGTTAGGTATATGAAATCCTGTCGGTAATTAAAAAAAATAATATTTTGAATTAAATTGTTGATTTTTAGTACGTAGATATAGTATATATACATATATACTATACTCCACCGGTCTCATTAAAAGGTTGCCGTTATATTTGTGTAAAAACGACAAAAACAAATATTTGTGTAATATATTGTAAGTTGGAAAGATGTTTATTATATTAAGTAGGTAGTGCAATTATTAATAGAAAATAGTAACCCTGTTTTTTTGGCGAACGAAAATGAGAAAAAGGTAATATATATTATTTTAATGTTTATAAATAATAATTAATATTTATAAAAAACTGTGCCATCCAAAAAAAAAATAAAATGACCAAACCTGATGTGTAACATAAATATATTTGTCAATTATTATTATTTTTTTTTTATCTATACTCTACTTTTTTTTCTTGTTTTTTTATTTATATTCATTAAATTTAAATTATCTATAATGTAATATATTTTGATGAGTGTGTAGTTTTTTATATATTTATATTTTTATTAATTCAAATTCAAAGTAATATTTTTTTTTAATTATTTTTATGTGTAAATTATTTTTTTAGTCTCGTAATTAGACTTTTTTATTATTTTAGTCATGTATTAGAGCATGTCGCAAATAAGTCCTGTAAGTGAAAAAATTCCGTAGTTTTAGTCCTCCGACGCCGGAGATGCCTGCGTAACTCGCCAAAAGCCACGTGTCCGCCAGGTCAGCAACACTTGGCAGACACGTAGATTTTCTTTTATTTTTAATTTTTTTTTTAATTTATTATAAATTTATATATTTTATTTTTTTTTTTTAATTGGACCAAATACAAAAAATACAAAATATATGAATTTAAAAAAATTAAAAATTTTTAAAAACTCTACGTGTCCGCCTGGTGTTGTTGACGTGGCGCATGCATCTCCGGTGCTGGAGGACTAAAATTGCAAATTTTTTTTACTTACGGGACTACTTTGCAACAGACTTCAGTTGACTAAAATAATAAAGGGATCCAATTACGGGACTAAAAAAAAGTTTACCATATTTTCATTTGTTCTACTTAAAAGTATTTTTTTTTCTTATTTTAGTAAAAATAATCATACACTAATACCAAAATACTCTTAATTTTTATTTAAATTACAAGCATATTATTACATATATAGAAAAAATATCAAAATCTCTCACATACTTCTACTGCCTAATAAAATACTAGTCTCGTAAGGAATGACCTAGTAATATAAGGGCGGACTTATGACCGTGAGGTCATGGGTTCAAACCCAGGTCACCTGCCACACATGGTTCGCCTAGTGTGACTTGTCTTATTATGCTAGTTTTCAGGGTATTAGGTTCGGCCGGGGGTTCACCCAGTGGACACTTTCGGGTAGCGGCTCAAATTCTCGCGTTATAAAAAATTAATAATAATAAAATAAAATATTACTCCCTCCGTCCGTCTCTAAGGATCACATTTACGTTTTGCGACACTTTCGGGTAGCGGCTCAAATTCTCGTGTTATAAATAATTAATAATAATAAAATAAAATATTACTCCCTCCATCCGTCTCTAAGGATCACATTTACGTTTTGCATCATTGTAATTAACATTAAAAATATCCTTATATTTGTATAAGTTTTTGTACAAATGTCCTTCTATTAGTATTATAAGATACTAATGGAAGTATTTTTGGAATTCTTTGTTTAATTTGTATTACGTTTTGATAGAATAATTGAAATTCAAATATCAACATGAAAAAAATAAATGAGATTTTTAGAGTCGGACGGAGGTAATATTATTTTTTAATTTATTGAAAAATCCAAAGACATACATTTTGGTGGGACAAATGGAGTATTATTATACTTTTTTAGTTTATTGAGATTGAATATTTTTTATTTGTAAATTAAAGTATAATTTAAATAATTAATATATATTATACTCAAAATAATTGACACTTTTGATTTGTGGCATTGTTGTCGTAAAAAATTGTCATCAACGGCTTAATCGGAAAAACTGTTGGAATTGATTTGTTCGAAAGGGTTCCCTAACCTCCTCAAGAAAATATTCGGACTATCTCACGATATTCGAATTAATTAAGTAAATGGAAGGTAAAACTAAGGCTAATAAAACAAGAAAGAAGGCTGAAAAATTAAATTGAAATTAATGAAAAAAACTGTAAAAAAATATGGGAAAAAATACGGAAAGTAATGCAGAGAAAAATTAAAGAAAAAATAAGATGAATTGATGTTAATGGCGTGTGTTCTGATCTAATCTGTTCTTTTTTTTTTTTTTTATCTTGATTTTTGTAGTTATTTTTTGACTGTTTGAATAAAGTATTATCCCATTTTTT